ATAACAAAAATACTAAAATTTTTCCAGTGTCTGCTGTTCCATATTAGTGTCTGAGACAGAGCCGTTAAGTGCACTATGCAGCCCTGTCAGGTCTCTGGCAAAGATGATGCTGGACATGCAGCTGTTTTTTACTTCTGAGGTTGAGAGCTGGGACCCTTCCCCAGGCAGCAGCTTTCCCAATGTCACTTGCTGAAGTCTCCCCTCTGTGATCCTGTCTGTTCAACTCTCAGCCACTATGGTGCCCTCTGCTGGAGCCAGTCTGAGGCTATTCTCAGGTCTGTGTGCTGTTGGCCCCTCCCAGGTCTTGACTGGGTACCTCTGTTCCACATCTTTGATTATTTTCCTGTTCTGGCTAAAGAAGGTGGGGAGGATGGGTTCATTTGCCCTGCTACTGGCTAGGGTCACTTGGAATATCCCTTTCCTGTCACTGGCCAAGGCCACTTGCCTGACTACATCTCTGGTTGCAGAGTAGAGGGGATGTCTCTGGCCCTTTGTAGCCAGGGACAGCTTCAATGGCCTTGGGTGGTCCTTGGAGTGGAGTTTGGGTGGACCTGGTTTCTACTTCTCAACATAAATTCCCTCAATCTGTTGACTGGGTGTCTGCTGCAGCTGTATGGGTCTACCTTTGCTTCTTTCAGGGCAGCAAAGTGGCCCTGGGGGAAAAGAAAAAAGTAGCACTGTTCAAATATCACTGTTTCTCAGTGAGCAGTGGAGTTGTTTTCACTAATCCCCAATGGGGTGGGTACACCACTGATCCACTGGGTTGAGTGTTCTTTGATCTGCACAAGTGTTCTATTTCTTCTGTAGCAATGAATCCTATTTTCTTCTTCTCCTGTTTTTTTGTGTTCCCTCTACACCATTTTTTTGGTCTTCAGGTTGTTGATTTCCAGGATCTGGGCACCTTTATGATAGATAGAATGCAAGATATCCTTTATATTCCAATATATTCATGTAAGCTTGCTTTAAGGCATATAACATGGCCTAGTCTGGAGAGGGTTCTGTTTGCTACTGAAAAAATTGGTGTTCTATTATTTTTGGATGAAGCACTCTAGGTATCTTAACTCCATTTGTTTCATGGTGTGGTTTGATTCTGATATTTCTTTGTTGATTTTGTGTCTTTTTGACTATATGGTGTACTGACTATCCCAAGCACTGCTCAGACAGGTGTCATTTCAACCAATTGACTCTTGTTTGCCTGAGATACACTTGCACATCTGTTTATTTGTTTAATGTGAACTGTTTTCTGCATACTTTTTATTTAGAATGTTGTATTCACCTTTGATGTTTGTTTCTAGTGAAATATAAAATTAAATTCTGGTTATTTTCTTTTACTAATTTGTGTTTGTTTTATTTGTGAAAAATAACCAATGATTTTGTGCTACAGTTTATAAAAACTCATCACAAGTACATTAGATATAATTTTTGTACCTCTACAGAAGTAAGTGATTTTTTTTATAATACAAAATGGACACATTTGGGTCTTTATTTCTCAATCTTTTGTGAAAGATAGTTTTGCAGGATGTAGCAGTCTGGCTTGGCAATTTTTTTCGTATACTTCGGGAACTTCACTCCAACCTCCCTTGATCTTTAATGTTTATGTTGAAAAATCTGTTTTATGAGTTAGTTGGTCTTTTTTCTAGGTGCTTTTAGTATTCTATTATCTGAATTTCTTGCATTTTGACTATGATGTGTTGTATTCTTTTGTAATTTTATCTATTAGGGGTTCTAAATATTTCATGTAATTTCATTCTCTATATTTAGAAAATTTGTTGTACTAATTTCAGTGAATAAAAACTTTTATGCCTTTAGTTTCATTTTCTGTTCCTGTCCTTTTCTTGAGGAGTGCAGGTCAAGACAGGGTCTCTCTTTGTACTTTAGGCTGGCCTGGATCTTGCTATATAGCCCAAGCTGACCTTGAAATGATAGTGATCCTCCTACCTCAGTCTCTTGAATGCTGGGACTACAGCCAGATGCTACTAGACTGGCTTCTGTCCCTTCCTTAACACTTATACGTTTTGAGATTATTTTAGTTGTTATTTTGGATCTCTTGAATTAATCTCTCATCGTGTCTTGTTGGCTTTTGAGTACCACATTATAAATGGTCTACTATATCAGTTTTTTCCTCAAGTTCTTTTATTCTGTCCTCTGACTGATTATACTTACTGCAAAAACTCTCAATTTGTTTTTAAATTTCAAGTATTTCTGCTTGGTTCCTTTTCATAATCTGAAATTCTTTACAGAAGTGATCATTTCTATTCTGCACTGTCTTCTTCAAATAATTCAGCTCTTTCTTTTATCTTCAATTGGCCCATCTTTGAAATGGTGCCTCACCAAGCCCTCTCTCTAGGGGATGCTTGGAATGGAGTCACTTGCCAGCTGTTATAGCTCACAGCATCTACTTCTCTGTTCCATGGTATGTTTCTCCCTGGAGGCCTCTGGAGTCACTCACCCTCACTGTGTCCCTGTAGATTTGAGCCTCTTCTATCCCACCACAAGCTGGGAGTCAGGGGAAAAGTGTAGTTTGTTATTTCCTTTTGCTCCATTGAGATCTATTTTTTGCACTTTCTGGAGATCCTTCTTGGATCCCCTGATTCACTTCCTTCCTTCTTTTCTTCCCCAAGTTGTTATATTCCAGTATATGGATTCCAAATCTCAGAGAGGGTGATTTGCTGCTGTTTACTGCTTTGAAATCTTCGTGGACAGGGAAATATTATTGACAGAGCTACATAACACATCTTAATTCCTTTTTATATCCCTGTTTCCTTTCCTCCTTCTTCCTCTCACCATCCATCCCTACCATCCATCCCTCTACCTCCTTCCTCTTTGAAAAAACTCTATCTTCCTACTTCCTATTAACTTTTCTTTTGCTCTTTCTTTACATGTTGGGTTTCTCATATAAGAGAAACGACATAGTATTTAATCTTTGTGTCTGATTTATTTCACTTAATATTATGATCTCAAGATACATTCATTTTCCTACAAATAACTCATGTTTATCATTTTTTATGGCAGAATAATACTCCATTGTGTGTAGATTCAGCCTTTTCTTTATCCACTCAAACACAATGACTTCTTTCAGGCTTTTCCAGGCACTGGAGTTTTTCTGTTAATTTGCTGCACTTAATCCTAAAAGATTTCATTAACATTTTTGTTTGATTTTACAGAAGATTCTAGGATTGCACAGTTCTGCCATTATCTTGCTAGATACTGACATTGTTCTATAATGCTTTCATCTCCTATGTCACACTGCAAACCAGAATCATTGGAATAACATCAGTGTCATTAACTCAAAGAATCTGTTCTCTCAGATCTTGTAAATCATTAAATATGGATTGTATTGTGATGGGATAAACTAAATCAAAATCTTGTGCATGTATAATGTACAAATCCCTCATTGCTGTAAATCGTTTGGTACCTGCGGTGCCCAAGACTCCATACATTATTGTATGTCAACTTGCTTTCTATTAGAATCTTCTATAGTAATATCATAGTTTTCAACAAAAATTCCTTGAATAAACTCTATAGTTAGAGAAGACTTTCCAATATCTTCTGAGTCAGGAATAACTGAACTAACTTTACCTGTCCTGTTTCTGAGACGGTGTTAGTATGTTGATATTCCCAGTGCCACAGCAGTCCTGCTGCATGTAATTCTGCTCTACCTGGTTATATTGTATTACTGTTTATCTCTCTCTCTTATGCGTGGTACTGCTTAATTTGTATATTCCACTTTTTTGGTGTTAGGTGGATATATATTTGAAATTGTCATTTTCATAGTGAGTCAATCATTTTGTCAATATATAATGGTCATTTTTGATTTTTATTAGCTTTTTATTTAAAGTCTGCTTAATATGTGGCTAGCACAGCTGTTTCTGCTTGTGATTTTTCCATTTGTATATCTTTTTCTAAGCCTTGACTTTCAGTCCATGTGTATCTTTACAAATGAGATGAATATCTTTCAGACAACATATGGTTGTCTTGTTTTTCATATTCAACCACTTTTTGATTGATGAATTTAATGTGTTTGCATTCAACATTATTGATTATGAACTTCCTCCTGTAATTTTAATTGTATTCCACTTGTTTGTATATGTTTTTCATTTCCATCTCTTTATTTTTGTGCTTTGGATGTTATTTGTCATGCTAAGGTTTGATATCCTGTTTTGTGTGTATCTGTTCTTGTAGGGAGTTTTGTATAGTCCTGTACTTTCATGATTCTAGTTATCTTTTATTTTCTAGTCTTTATCTCCCTTGGATGTTCCTTATAGATAAGCCCTGATGATTTTTTATTAAAAGTTTTGAAGTCATATGACAGGCATTTTAGGGAATTTTTAATTTCTCTTTAGAAGATATAGTATTTCAGATACAGAGATAGTACATTCTAAATATATACTTTAGTGCTTGTTTTAATATGTCATAAAGTTATATTCTTTTGGGCATATTGACTTAATTGTATTTTAAAAAATTGAATGAATTGTATTTATTGTAAAAATTTGCAAAATATAAAAAATTTACCCATAATCTTTGTTCCAAAAGAATGGTTATTTACTGTTTATATTTTACTTTGTTTACAAATGCATATACATTTTCACATGATTTTTGTCATGCTATAAGTATTACAGTGTAACTTTTATTAAATCATAATGTATCATAGAAATTTCCAAAAAGCAGTGTAACTTTTATTAAGGATACTTTTATTCCCGGTATATTTATATATAGCAGATATCTACCATAATTTGTTTTTGACAGGTTGCTTCATGTTGTTCTCAATAAAAATAATGATGCATCAATCAGCTTTCTATATTAATCCTTGTTAGTAGGTTTAATTGTTGTTCATATGATGAATTGTTTCAAGGAGAATCATTGGCTCAAATGAGTCTTTATAAGACTGTTGATAAGTACATTATTTTTAACTTTCTGAACTTTCTGATCTAATTTTTTGTATACTTGAATAAATGATTACTCTATGTAGTTAGAATTTGGACTGTTTAATTTCTTCCTAGGTTTGAGGCAGCCAGAAAAGAGGCACTTGCTGTAGATCAAAGACTTGCAGAGAGGCAAGAAGATGAAACTGTCCTAGAAAAGAAATGGCCATTACTTGGTGTTCCTTTGACAGTAAAAGAAGCTTTCCAGCTACAAGGTATTAGTCTTTGTATGTTTTTATTTCCATGGGTTAAATTCCCAAGTGTTACACATGTTTTGAATTATAAAATTAAAAACGCATTATTTAAGTGTTGTCTACATTACTTCCTGAGTTTTTAAAGAAGAGAAATATTCAGGAATTTTAATTGAGAAGAGAAAAAATAATGGTTATCCCATGTTAAATTTTTATGACATAAGAGAGCAGTGTTCAGTACTTATTAGTACTCATAGTAGACATATAAGAATATTATTATCTTTTCCAGATTAAACAAGGAGACTTGTGACTTCAAGTAACTTGCCTAAGTGAATGCTCAGATTATGATAAAATCCCATGCTTTATGATGAAATTCTTATCTGTAACTTTCTACTGGTCACAAATGTAATTGAAAATCCAGAATATTTGGAAATTAAGTGCCATAATTTTAAATAACACATGAAGCAAAGAAACACATCACAGGGCAACAATTCAATAGAAAGAAAACAAAATAATAATATAACAGAACTAATGGGTTCCAGTTAAAGGAATACTTAGAAATTTGTAGATTTGAGTAAGCATATTTGTGAAGAAGAAATATTTCAAATCAATAATATGCTTTCACTTTGGAAATGTAGAAAATGGAAAGCAAACAAACAGGGCAAAAGAAGGGAGGAAATTATAAAGATTGGAGTGTAAATCAATGAGATAGATAATGCTAAAATGATAGGTATCATCAGTGAAACCCAAAAGTGATTGTTGGGAGAATTCAATAAATCTGCTATAGTTTAGCTTAGTTTCTGATGAAACATGAGATAGAACACAGAAAATAATAAAACCAAGAACAAATAAGGTGCCATGAGCACTGTTTCTAAATATATTAAAACTTTTAGCAATTAAAATAAATAATAAATAATCTTTAGTACTTAAAGTTATTCCTACATGAAAAATAACTCAGGTGCAAATGAACTCAGCAGTGAACTAATAATTAGGAACTAATAATTTATTAGGATCTTAGCTCATCATGTTAATTGAAATAAGCCAGACTCAGAAAAACAAACATCACATTTTTCTTTCATATATGGAATCTATGAAAAGGACATGAATGTAGAAAGGAGACTATTAAGAGGAAGAGAATCAGGGGAGGTGAGAGAGGAGTATAATGGAAGGTATAAGTGAGGTTGGACATGATCAAAGTATGTCATAGGCATAAATGAAAATGCCACAATAAAATACATTCTTCTGTTTATAAAAATAAGTAACACAAACTCTTTAAAACTTTTTTATAAAATAGAGGAGGAAACTTTTAAAAACACATTCTTTGAAGCTGTTATCACTCGAGACTAACAACAACATCACAGTAAAAGATTATCTTTTTCTTTCTTTGGTACCGGGGATTGAACTCAGGGCCTTGTGGTTGTGAGGCAGGTGGCGGAACCACTGAGCTAAATTCCTGGCCCAACAGTAAAAGAAATGTATAGACCAATTAGTAACAAAACTGAGGTAACATTTACAAAAGAATTATATATCATGGATTTATCTGAATAATGTTTGTTTCGTTTAGTAAGTAAAAAACTGTGAAACTTAATTGACAAGATACAGTTTACAAGCACATTAAAACTTATTTTTCACCCCACCTGCCTCACAACTGCAAGGTCCTGTGCTCGATCCCCAGTACCAAAAAAAAAAACAAACTTGTTTTTTAAAATAAAAGAAGTTAGAAGATTACCATAAGCCTTAAAGATTACCCTAAACTGGGCCGGGGATTTAGCTCAGTGGTTTTGCTGCCTGCTGTGCAAGCGCAAGGACCCGAGTTGATCCCCGGTACCAAAAAAAAAAAAAGATTACCCTAAACCTATAGTCTATACTTGTATGATAACTGACAGGGAGGACAGAAAAAAACCCAAAAAACAAAGGATAGATTACATTGCTTTCAAGTTTAGCTCTTTTCTTTGGATGTGTGACCTCTGGATCATTTTAAAAATTTAAAACTCTTGTACAGAAATAATTTTAAACATATTTAGAAATTGCAAAACTACCTCAGAGAACTCCAGTATACTCCTTGTATTTGCCAATTGTTAACATTTTAGGGCCAATTACTTCCTTTCCCTCCCCTTCTCTCATTTTTTCTCCTATCCACTTTTCCTTTTCCTATCCTTTTACCCTACCCCTATTTGCTCTGTCTTTCCATTTCTTCCTATCTTCTTTTCACTATTTTATGAACCATTTAAGAAAAAGTATTACAGTCCCCTTTTAAGTCCCTTAACATATAAACAATTCAGTATGTATCTAAAGAACCTGGCAGAATTCTTACATAGAGTCACAGTATAGTTGTCATTTTCAAGGTACTTAACATTGGCAAAATGCAATTATCTAATCTATAGTCAATGTTTCAAATTCACTAATTGTTGCAATAATATCCCTAATAAATTTCAATCTTTCATTTATGATTCTATTCAGAATCACACATTGAATTTAGTTGGTAATCTTTATAGTAATCTTTATAATCTCTTTAATCTTTATAGCAATTTTTCTTTTTTTCTGTCTTTCATAATATCAATATTCTTGAAGAGAATTGAGTGAATGGCATTTCTAGAGTTGCTAGTTTAGGCACATCTCATTTGTCCTCACGAATAGAACATATATATATATATAATTTTTTAAATGAGAGGAATATTCTTTTATGATGTATAATTTACATAGTATAGAATTTACTGATTTAAATACATAAATTCAAAGAATTTCAGAAATTTACTGAGGTTTGCATCTATCTTGATAAATTAGTTTTAAAGCATGTCATTTATCTCTATAAGACTTCTCATGTCCATTTATAGTTATGATGTATTCACACCCTATTTCAGGTGTTTTCAGTTATCTTGACTACCTAATTGCTGCATCATATACTAAATGTGTTTAACATATTGGGGAACCATTGAATTGTTTTCTGAGGAGCTATATTATTTTATATTACCAGTAGCATTGTTAGCACTCCCATGTATCCACATACTTATCTAAATTTGGTATTGTCTGCTTTTATATTAGAGCCATTTAATGGCTGTGAAAATGTTTCATAGTTTAAACTTTTACTTAAGGAACAATTGTTTCATTTTAAATAAAGTATTCAAGAAAAAGTGGGCATTTCCTTTACCATACATTCCTAAGTACAGCCTATGATCCCTGTCTTCACCCTTTCTTTCTAATAAGATTAATAAGGTATATATATAAATATATATATATACTTCCTGAATTTATTAATCTACCTTTAAGAATATCCTTAATAGAGGCCCACCAAGTTACCATTGCTAAGTGTGCACAGATCTGTGAAAGAAGCCTGCATGGACCAGAGTGGTGCAGGTGCCCACAGGTCCCAACCAGGGCCCAAAAGAGACACAAGCATCTTGGGCCCAGAGGCTCCATCCAAAGGCTGACCTGGAAAAGAGCTCTGCAGGCATGAAAGCAACAGCAAAAGGCCTTCCCAGACACCATCAGTAAATGCATGAAGATCCCAGCCAGAAGCCCACTCAGATACCAGTGACTCAGGTTCACAACACTGAGACAAAGGCCTACCCAGACAACAGATATTCAGGGGGCAGGCACCAGCCAAAGCCATGCCCATATAACAGGACAGTGCAGGGATCCAGAAAGCCACCATTTTAAACCCAGGAATTGGGACGGTGGTGAGCAGCAGAGAAAAGGCCTTTTACTGACTTGCTGAGAATTGAAGATCACTGGGTGAACAAAAAGTTGCCTCAATGAAGGCATAGCAGGATGCATCTGTTAAAATGAGAAGACACATAAACAAATCTCAGAACCAGACTTCCGGATCACCTAGTGCAACCCCAAAGGGCAACAACATGGAACAATCTATTACTCAACAACGTGGACTCCCTGAACTAGCAACAGAAGAGGATCTGGAAAAAAGGAAATCAGAAATAATTTCTCATATAATAATGGAGATTGTGTCCATAGGGCAAGACATGATTAATAAATTTGCAACTGATGCAGATTAAAAAAAATAGAAAAGCTGAGGAACATGATGGAATATCAACATAGGAAACAAATGGAATCCATAAAACAGATGCAAACAGATTTCCAGGAGATTAAAACTCCATTGAAAGTTTACACAGCAAAATGAGCCAATGTGAGGACAGAATTTCAGATATAGAAGAGAGGATTGCAATTAGTGACCAGGAAAGGAAACATTTCTTAAAAATAGTAAGGGACCACAAGAAATCAATCCAGCAGCTTCTAGCTGATGCAAAGAGTAACATAAGACTGATGACAGTCAATGAAGAAACAGGGGGCAGTAAAAATGACATAATAAAACTGTTCACAAAAGTAATGGCAGAAAATTTTAAAAGCAAGAGAAAAGAACTTGACATACAGATAAGTGAGGCATATAGGACACCAACTATCCATGGTGAAAAAATTCTATACCTAGGCATATAATAGTTAAGATTCTAGAAACCCAACAAAAGAACAAGATTCTAAAAGCAGTTACAGAAAAGAAACAAATCATATACAAAGAGAGCCCATCAAATCACAGCAGACTTCTCAACATAAACCCTCAAGCCAAGAAGAGCTTGGAGTGACAATTTCAAGCCCTAAAGGAAAACAATCTCCAACCCAGATTGATGTACCCTGCAAAATGATCTTCCAAAAGTGATGCAGATATAAGACACTTTCATGACACAGAGGACCGGAGAAACTTCATGAATACAAAACCATCATCCCAAAAATTTTTAAACAATATCCTAGAACAAGACAATGAGGATAACAACTTCAGGATGCCCAGCAGAAGGAATCCATCCTGCAACACAAGAAATTAAATGCAAATGGGGAGTATCAAACAAAAAGAAAAGATCATGACAATGATAAGTTAATATGTATCAGTTATAACCATCAGTGTTAATGGTCTCAATTCACCAATCAAAAGGAATAGACTGGTAGAATGGGTTAAGAAGCAAGATGCAACAATATGCTGCATACAAGAAACACACTAAATTCAAAAAGAAACTCATAGA